CACTTGTGAGAAATCTTATTTGTATGAAAAATTTTTCATATCAATTTCATGCTATAAAATAAATTGAAGTATTTAAATATCATTTTTACATTATTTCATATACGTCATTTATAATTGCACACGGAGAGAATTTTCTTTTAAAATTTATCCTGAAATTCACGGTAATCGTGGGACAATATATTAATTAAAAGAATTTTATATTTAATATTTATCACAATAAGATATATCTTTGATTAATTTTACTAAAATATTATAGTAAAATTTTAATAAATTTAAAATATATTGAAAACTATTAAAAGTATGATTCTTTATATAAATGTTTTAAATAGAATAGATGCCAAAAAAGTGATAAGCATATAACATATTTTATATAAATACACTGCAGCATATTTTCCAGCTTAAACATTCATAATAATTTTAAAATGTAGCATAATTTTCAGCTTATTACTTAATACATGATAAAATTTGTAGTGTATTTTGCGGTAAAATTTAACGAAATTTTCTTTCCGTATACATGTGTGTTTCGTATATATGTGTGTAATTATTAAATTTCTCGGGTCATTTCTCTAAACATTTTACAGTACTTAATCGTCTTTATACTCGCTGAAATGAATAGTTTACGAGCAATGTTGTGCTTACATAATTTTAAAATTAGTTAGATAAAGATGAGATGAAAATATGTAAAGTTATCATAGATAAGAAAGATGGTTTTGTTTTAAATAGATCTCGATAAAAGATAAAATTGTCTAGATAACTTCCAGATAATATTATTTTTAAGACCACTTACGTAAATTCCACTACTGCAGTATTTTTATGTGTTACGCCTCTCTAAAGTAAATTATCTAAACACATTATTCTAAATAATTTAGTAAAGATAATATTTTTTTATCTAACAATAAGATGCAGATATGGATAATACATATTTTTATTATCTATATAAAAATAAGATACCAAATTGAGACGTCAAAATTTTATCTAGATGATTAGCTATATATCATTTTATTTGGACAACAGAAAACACCGTTTACGAGTATTAGCGCTGCTGCAATAATAATAATAATAGTAATAATAATAATAATAATAATAATAATAATAATAATAATAAATAATAATAATAATAACAATAACCAATCGGAGCAATAATTCGCGACGAAAGCGTGTCTCGATGAAAAATTGCGTGCACCGAAGATATGATTTTTCCATTTTTCTTGGCCGACACGGAATGGGAAATTGCGTTTGTAGCGCGGATTGGTCCATCGTCGATCTAGCGGAGATCATCGCCCCTTCTCCACTCTTCACGATCGTGCTCTCGCGCGCTCGAAGGTGACAGACCACCGTGAGCGTGAAACTGTAACCCAATAACCGTCGTCAGTGACTCTCAATCGGTTAGAACTCTCTCAGAGTGCTCCATTCGTGATGCTGCTGCGGTTTATGGGAGAATGCACGCCGATTGGAAGTTGTAATAACCCGATAACTCCCGCCATTCATCGGCTCTTGATAGAGAATCCAGCGGCGGAATTTTCTTCACAATAGAATTTTCAATTATGCACTTACGCAAAACATTTTTTCTACGCTCGATAATTGCGTGTTGTGTGAATCGTAAGAATAAATTATATTTATTATATATATATGTATATAAATTATGTTATTTAATGTATATATAACAAATATATTAAAATATATTATATATATTTTATATTGCTAACGATTAACTCAGCATTAGAAATACAACTTGCGAAATCAGGGTGTCTATATAGCGGTCAGGGAAATCTGGAAAACTGGGCATTGTCAGGGAATTTTATAAATCTGGACTTGTCAGGGAAAAGTCAGGAAATTTTACTATTTATCTGGATTTTTCACATTATTCTACATTTGTCTCAATAATTGGAATTTTTTTATTAAATAAATAAAGAGAAAAACTAAAAAAAACTGATATAATATTAATAAAAAAGGTGATTATTTGAATAGTTTATAGTGACATGGTTGTTTCGATTATCGTACATAATGCAGATTGTATAATTGATTAAAATTTTTGTTTTTTTAATATCCGAACCTTTTTATTGTTGATAAAAATATTAAGGATTTCATGATTTAATATTTAATTGATTTATCATATAGATATATGCAAATTATATATTTGGAAAAAATAATACTGAAGAGTCTAAATAAGTCTAAATAATACTAAATAATACTAAAAATAATACAAAACAATTTCTGGTCTTGGAAAATCTGAAAAAGTCAGGGAATTTTTTTCATCGAGTCTGCTAGACACCCTGGAAATTGAATCGAAATCATCTAATTTCCCGGAAAGTGTGTGCCCCGCTTAGATATCTATGTTAACATGTCGATAATAATCGACGTTGCACTAATCGCAGATTATTATCGATCTCTCGATCTCGTAATTACGTACCGTTATAATCGATAATTCGATTCATCATCTTCTATTCGAACGTGTTTACCGAGAGTTTTTCTCTCTCTCTCTTCTCTTCAATTTTCCTTCAAATATAATAATTTGTAATCTTAAAATATAAATGATCCTCAATAAATATACTTATTTCTTCAGCATTCGCGTTAGATGAGAATAACGGTTTCGATATACGGTTCGATTGGTCGGCCAAACTTATTAGTGCCCGATAACGAAGCGGATCCATTTAATCCGCGCAAATATTTGCGGAATCGAGACTGTTTAACCAGAAAAATTTGCGGATAGAGTGGAATTTCTCGCTGTTCCGCGAAAGGAAAAGAATTGAGTTCTAACGCTGTTTCAAACGCTTGAACCTCGACCTTGAGTCTACTGTGAATTACTGATAAAAATGATGATGCATCTGCATTCCGTTTCTCGATGACGTCGGTACCTCATAGAGACATCTCAGAGAACGTGGAGCACTCTATGCATCCCGATTTTCTACATTATCTGAAATCTTAAAATACATGATGTGCACGAGAGATCAGAACGAAATCCTACACAGAGGAAATTTTCTCTTACAATTTATCCTGAAAATCATGGTAATCCCTATGAGATAATATGGTATTGAGAAAATTTTAGAAGAGTTGCTTTGATCAAAATATATTTACCACAATAAAAAAATATTAATATCTACATAATAAAATATCAAATATGTTTGATTCATTACTGTATTCATATTAATATTTTTTATTGTGGTAAATTCTTCCAATACCGTATTGTCCCACGATTACCATGATTTTCAAAGTAAATTCTAAAGTAAAATTCTTTTCATGTAATGCAAGATTGTATTGTTGATGTAACAGAAAGAAAAAAGAGAAGCTAAGACCTAATACTTAGATATTTTTGTAAAGACCAAAGATTATGAGTTCCTTTCAATGTTTCGCGATTAATGCAGAATGGCGGAATAATATCTCGTACATGAATATTATTATTGCGCGATAGAAAAATCCACGTGATAGATGGCTGCCGATAGAATTCCAGTTTGTTGCATCGTTCGAGAGGCGATTTAGAGAAGCACGATATATAATAAATAAAATCTTTGTGCTTGCGTTCTCTCTCTTCTCTATAAAGCTTCTCTCTGGATTCTAATAAAAGAAAAAAATTGCATTTGATCTTTTTTTAATATAAATATTTCCGAGCAGAAGACTTTCTAAGATGTGTTTTCAATTTCATGAAAAATTAAACTGTTTAATGCTTGTTATGCAAAAGTTGGGTGAAAAATAGTATATTGAGAAAATGTCGAAAAATTGCAATTTTTATATACTCTATAATCGTGTATTACATTTATAAAATAATGTAGTTAATATTTATTATACGTATGTATAAAGAGTGTCTCTTACAAAGATTTATCAGACCGTATATATGGATCAATATAAAAATTGTATTTATATGCAAATGTATTTTAAAGACAACATACATTTGAACAGTCATTATTATTCCAACTTTAAATGTCTCTTTCTCGGAAGCATATTGTACTGCAGAAAAGTATCGAAAATATTACCGTCGCAGCCTTCTGGAAAGCAAGAAATCGTCTCTCGAACGATCTCTCACCTCGTCGCCCATAAAAATGTCCCGCAAACGAAGATCTTTTTCCTTTTTCTCGTCTCTTTCTCTCTCCCTTTTTCTATCGCGGTCGATTCGCGCGCGCACGACATTAAATCGTATCTCGTATCACGATAGCGCGCTTCAGAGGGTCCTATGGAGAAGAAACAAGGACAGAAACAACGAGAGAAGGAGAGAATTCAGGCATTTGGGCGTCTCGCCAAGCAGGCGAGCGAGCAAGACTGGGGTGCCCCTATATGTGGGGTGGACGACCCTTTGTTCGAATCGCCTCTTTCTCTTCCCTCACAGCCGGTTTTCTCTTCTATTCACTCGGTCCGGCTCTTCCTCCTCCGCTCCCTTTTAACATCCACACCCCCTAACTAACGAAACGCGCGTCGATGGGTCACGAAACGCACCGTACGGGGTCGAAATTTGATATCGTATTGCTCCTCTAACCGGTGTGTATCGGGTGTGATCGTTAGACATCCCCTTCGTAAACACCCAGACTGCGTTGTGAGAAACCCCTGCGTGGTCGCGATTCTTATCCGGAAGCGCGTGATAGCTTCTACTTGACAAATTGAATTCGGGGATGTTAGGGACAGCGGAGATTCCGTGTCGTACGACTCGCTTTAGGTCTGTTCATTGCAGCTGAACTGGCTGCACTACTTTAGACTTTATTCCTTTCCTTCCAATGTGGATTAAAAAGATTAAGGAAAGGTCTGTTCTTTTCAGCTGAACTAGTTGCCCTATAGTTCAGAGTTTATCTTTTTTATATCATATTGGAATAGGTTTTCTTTTTTTTTTTTTGACTGAACTGTTCAGAGTTTATCTTTTTTTATTAGTACAGCCAGTTCAGCTGAAAAGAACAAACCCAAAGAATATCTGAACTAGTGCAGCCATAATTCAGCTGAAGAGAACAAACCTTTTATTGTAGAGAACATTGTGTCTTTCGCGTTGATAATAATTTTTTCTCTCGTCTCTTTGTTTACAGTCAGCGCAGGAGGCTTAGACTTTACTATCGAGCCACAGGATGTGGTGGTGGAACAGAATGGTCCCGCGAGACTGGACTGCGAAGCGAAGAGTGTCTTTGGGACGCCGAGTATACTTTGGCGCACGGACGACGGTCAGCCGATCACGTTTATCGGGGACAGTGATCGGTAATAATGCGTGACATCTTATGGAGATTAATGTCCGTCCCATTGTTCAGGTGTCCCAGGAAATGTCACGATTTTATCTTTGCAGATCACAGCTAGCAAACGGATCGTTGTACATAAAAAGCGTACCTAGCGGTAATACAGAGTTGACCGGAAGTTATCAGTGCTTGGCTTCCGTAAATATCGGATCGATTGTCTCGCGGACGGCTACAATCAAACTAGCAAGTTGGTATCTTCATTCAAATTTCTTTGCATTTTAATGTGTACATGTACCTACTCTTAAATATACATATCTTATTTTCTCTGAAAGTTTACAATATTGTATATACACGAGAGAATTTTCTCTTAGAATTTACCCTGAAAATCATGATAATCGTGGAACACTGTGGTTGGAAGAATAAGAGTTTCTTTGATTAAAATATTTACCACAATAAAAAATATTACCTATGTACATATAGTAAATTTAATCGAACATGTTTTATATCTTATTGTGCAGGTCCAAATATTAATTATTAGGATAAATTAATAAGAGAAAATTCTGTGTATTTGTTTAGAATATATTTGGGACAGTTTTCTAGTATGTGCGACATGATTATGTAATGAAACATGCACATAACATCGATTTTCTTTAAAGGCCTGCCCGGCTTCGAGAGAGAACCTCAAGATACCATGATTTATGCAGGACAAGTTGCATATTTAAATTGCGCTCTACCTGCCTCCTCGAGCTTGTTAAAGATACAGTGGTTAAAGGATGAAGAGCCGTTAGTGCTCGATATAAACCGAATGACAATCCTGCCGTCTGGTACGATATATTTTTATTAAGATGCTTGCTAAAATAAATGAATCAAGTATATGAATATAATTTATCTCGCTGATTTCTCTTTGCAGGCGCGTTGGAAATCGAAAATGTTCAGTATCACGACGTTGGATCGTACAGATGTAACGCTAGCGGTTACGGCCAATATAGACTGAGCAACAAAGCAGAATTAAGATTATTGTCTAGTGACATTGGTAAGACATCGGTGACTTGTTATCGAGACGATAAATTGAGAATTAAGTACTTTCGACGAGACATCAGATTTTTTATGGATACTTAATTTCCGTCGTACAGAAGGATCTAGCGCCCCGGTTTTCATCGCGCAACCTTTACAACAAACAGCTATCGAAGGATCCGACGTGACGCTTGAATGCGCTGCTATCGGTTATCCGAAACCGACAATCCTTTGGCTTAAAGATGGCGTCGCTCTCGATTTGACACCATCATTTGATTCTAGGTATAGTACATAACTTTGAATATCAACGATATAATAAATCTGAATATAATGTGTGTGTTTACGAGAGATATATTCTTTTCAAGATATCGCAAAGTCGCAGCTTCTAGTCTCATGATCACAAATGTCAGAGAATCGGATCATGGCTCGTATCAGTGTCGTGCGGAAAACGAGGTTGAATCTTTGGATGCAGTCGTTGAATTAATTATACAAGGTATTATAATTTGCAGGACGTATAATAGTTTAGCATGTATTCTTGTCGCAGATATTGTATATATATATATATATATATATATATATATGCAAAATTTCACGCTTAATTTACAATCTCCAGTTCCGCCAAAGTTTTTGAAAAAGCCCGAGGATAAAGTGGCAAGTGAAAATCAAGATTTAGAGTTTGAATGTGAAATCTATGGAAAACCGGAACCGAAAATTACCTGGTTGAAGAATGGCGAACGTATTACGTTGAGTACGTATTGGCAAATTATCAAGGGGTACGTATAGAATGTATTAATGTTTTTTAATTTTTTAAAATTTAATTTAAATTTTATTAAATTTAAATTTAATTTTTAATTTAAAAAATATCTGTGAAAAGTCAGATTCAATAAAATGATAATAATAATAATAAAATTTTTCTGTTTCCAGAAATAATTTGAGAATCAATGGGTTGATACCTATAGATGCGGGAATTTTCCAGTGCATAGGAGTGAATCCTGCTGGTAGCGTTCAAGCCTCGGCACGTCTCACAATTAGCCAGCCCAGTGAGTTTTACTCATGAAATCTCTTTAAAAGGCATACACACATCGTTTCATTAATCGATTTATCGGTCAACAAATATTTTTTACGTGGGATTTACGTTATTTTTGTTTCTTTATATTGATTTATCGTACATTTGTTTTCATTCACACATTATTTTTCTATTTTTCTATTTATTTGAAATTTTAATTTTCTCTTTATTTATTTTTTTCTCCTTCTCGTGTGTTCCTTGCCGATTAACTGTTCTGCGTACTAATATTGCGCAGAGAGAATGAATTCCCGTAGAATAACGACTCCCAAGACAGTTCCTAAGAAAAAGTTGTTACAACATCGACAGTTGTATAATAAGACATGGCAACATCCGAGTACTCTCCTAGGACACACGTTATCGTCACTCACACCGAATCCCCCGCTTTCCATAAGTCCCTCCGACGATCCCGCGGATCTACTTCCAGGCTCGGTTAAGTATCCCAACTCCCTTTACGACCCAGACTCCCGTTTTATAGATGACACGGATACTCTGGAGGCGTTTGACGGAGGTGGAATACCTTCTCCACCGAGGAACCTGAGCCTCGTTATTGTTACCGCAAGATTTATTACGCTACGCTGGCAAGAGCCGGAAAATACCAACAGTGACATTCTCAATTATTTTATACATTACAAACAAGAAGGAGCCTTGAGGTGAGAAATAAATCAAGTGTGTGTGTGTGTATGTCGTGTATATAATATAAAATAAAAAATTAATTTTTATTGATTTGTATACAGAGAAAGAGTTGTCAACACGCAACAAAAACTGGAAGCTATGATACGTGGTTTACAGCCCAGTATGACGTACCAATTCCATGTAGTCGCGCAAAACGCTCGAGGACTCAGTGCCCCTAGCGAAGTATTACAAGTTACAACGTTAATAGAGGTAAGCATACGATATCTTTGAATATTATTATGCTTACTATGTCGTTTGTAATATCTCGTGCAATCTTTTAGGCCAATGTTCCTGGACCTCCGATGAATCTAGAAGGTCATGCAACGAGTAGTATGAGTATTACATTATCGTGGGAGGAATCACAAGTTATTAACGGTCGAATATCGAATTATATTATTACATTTATGGAGGTAATAATTTTATTGCAAATAGTAGACATGTTAATATAGTTGATAGCGATTCAATCTTATCGCGTTTTCTTAGGGCGATGGTAAAGAAGTAACGCGTGAAACTACTAGTACAACGTATGAATTGGTGGATCTCGTGCCTTATACGGAATACAGTATTCGAGTTCAAGCGGTCAACGAAAATGGCCCGGGCGCGTTTAGTAAGGATATCGTAATTCGAACTCACAGCGCACAACCCACGCAACCACCGCATAACGTTACGTTAGAAGCAGCTAGTTCAACGGTATATGTTTCAATCAGATAAGAGTGAATGAATATATTTAAAAGAGATTTTGTCTTATTCTCTACTTAAATATATAATTAATTATGTATTTAAATATCCTTTCTCGTTTTTCAGAGTATTATCGTAAGATGGGAACCTCCGCTCGAAGGACAGAACGGGATTATCACGGGTTACAGAATCCGTTATCGCAGATATCCGCACGATTCCCGATCCGGAGATCGACGGCCCCCGATTACGGTGACGACTGAGGGAAATCAACGTTTGTACGTGCTCAATGCACTCGAGAAGCACGTTGTGTATCAAGTTCGTATATGTGCCTTCAACGTCAATGGAACTGGGCCTTGGACGGAATGGACAAAGATAGAGACGTACGAGAACGATTTGGATGAGACAAAAGTACCCAATGCACCTAGTAATTTAAGAGGTATAAAGATCTGCCAAGGCTACAAAGAAATGCGAAACGCGTAAAACAATGTTTTAAGTATTAAACTTGTTATAAAAATATACACATTATTGCAGCGAATGCTATGGCGGATTCTATCCTGGTGTCGTGGCATCCTCCAAAAGATCAAAGCATAAAAGTGAGAAAATATAAATTAGGTTGGGGTAAGGGTTATCCCGATGTCGAGATACAAGTTCTCGATGGAAAGCAACGATCTTACTCAATCAAACCTATTGGTAAAATATTGTGATAAATTATTCCATTTTTTATATCGATAAAAATCTTTAATTTTAACTCGGCCGATTTTTCTTTCATAATTTTCAGAACCAACAACGGAGTACGTAATATCTTTAAGAGCAACGAATAATGTTGGCGACGGTCAACCAGCGTACGCAAATGTAAGAACTCCCGAACGTTTTGTATCCGAATCTGCAGTGCCTTTAATACCACCTGTTGGCCTCAAAGCTATTGTGCTCTCGGCTACTACCGTTGTGCTGTATTGGACCGACATGACTTTATCGAAAAGTCAAGTACGTTTACGTCATACACATATATATAATTGCATTGTTATTTTATAAAACGTAGAATGATGCGCGAAAGGTCAAGCAAAACATATCTGTAGCGAGGACATTTATTTTTAGTACGTCACCGATAATCGGTATTACGTGGTGCGTTACACATCCTATCATCACAGTAGCAGTCCAAGATACAAATATTACAATGCCACTGATCTCAATTGTATGATTCACGACTTGAAACCCAACACGCAGTATGAGTTTACGGTTAAGCTTGTCAAGGTAAAAAAGACAAAAACATTACGCACAACGTCTAACAGCTGATAAAAATAAATGTGTTACAAAACAATTTTCCGCAGGGTAAACGGAGTTCGCCTTGGAGTATGGTCGTCTTGAATCAAACGCAAGAAGCTGCACCTAATTCGGCACCCCGGGATTTGACTATTCAAACTGTGGAAGATCGTCCGACTTCCGTTCTATTACGATGGCAACCTCCTAAGCAACTTAATGGACAAATTACAGGTTGGTAGCGATCCCAATTCTTCTAAAATTTAAAGAATAAAATATATTTTTATTCAATTATGTCGCACACACTTTGTAGGATATCTTATAATCTATTCCACTGACAACACGAAATGGGATCGTGATTGGCTGGTCGAAGGTGTCATTGGTGACAAGATGGATGCTATTGTGAAGGGTTTGCATCCCAACACGATGTATTATTTCAAGATGCAAGCTCGGAATTCTAAGGGATATGGACCTTTCTCCACGACGGTTTCATTTAAAACACCACAAAGTAAATAATTCGATTTTTATTTATCTATTTATTGATGTTGATTAAGCTAAATTTGATTATGTTGTACATACAGTGTAATATAGACCTCTAAAGTGTTGCCTATTTATTAATCCAACTGTATATATAAACTATATATATGAACGTGTAGTATTATTTGCATATATAATTTTTTTTAATATGCTTTTATGTTGCATTTTGTTGTACATTCAGTGTGTTAATTATTATGTTTATTTTTTATTTTTATCTGGTAGGCAACGGCATGGATATCTATGATGAATTGCATGATCAAGGTAAGATATCTCGGATTTTATTTTTTTATTCAAATTATAGCATGCCTTTATAAGCACGTTTTTCTCTGTTAGAATTTATAATTCAACCTTATCGTATGTGAAATTAAACAGAATTGCTCTGCACATTTTTAATAAAATAAAAGCGTTTTTAAATTTGAAACGTTGAATAAAACTAATGCACTTGTTTTCATTTTTTCTAGATGGACGAAGCCTTTCCAATCTGTTGATTTACATCATAGCAGGTTTCTCAGTTGTCATTATCACTGGTATAACTGTAGTGGTTGTAGTGTGCTGCAAACGTAATCCAAACTCGCCAGATCGAAAGAAAGGGTATATCCTGATGATTAAGAAATTTTGTATTGATAATTAATATTGCCAATATTTTTTACAGGTGTTACTAATATACTTTTTTATAATTTCTACACAGGTATATGAATGATTCAAATCAGAAAACGAATATCAAGCCGCCAGATTTATGGATTCATCATGACCAAATGGAATTGAAGGCGCTTGAAAAATCATCGTTAAATGGTGAAGCGTCTACCAGCGGCGTCACCAGTAATACATTACCTAGGTCGGGCAATCTGGAATATAATCAGGATAATGTACATGGGAATTCCAGTTCATTAGATAAACGTACTTATGTGCCAAGTTATATGGGTAAGTATATAATTCTGATAGAATATATTGTTGCGCACTGTCACAAATCAAACATTACCAGAAACATTTAAATCACATCACAAAACTAACCAACTATCTTATTTGCATAACCAAGAATAATTCCTTTATCGCACATTATAAAATATTGTTTCAGTGATCTTTACTTGTAAATTAGTATTTCAGTTAGCACAATGCATTAAAAAAGAGAGAAGAAGAAAGAGAGACACTGTATATTTCATTTGCAGTTTTTTCTGATTTTATTATTTGGTTGCTTTTTTACTTATTTTCTATTAGGTAACACTGACGAGAAGTGCTCGACCCTGAGTAGACAGCACAGTCGTGGAAGTCACAAACCTAAACTAATTACACTCCCTGTTGACAGTGCACCTTTGCATCAGCGTAAGTAGTAGTAGGATTGTCACTCGTAATAGCGCACAAGTACTTGTAATCATGTAACGATATGCTTTTATATCAGTAGCAGTTGAGTTATTCAAAGTACATTATTATTTTTCACAACATGACAAGTGTACACAAACACATAATATTTATTACCATTTAAATGTTGGGTATCAAAGTTTTCGACTTATTACAGCTATAGCTACAGCTACTCCGATCGTAAATACCAGCATGTCGCAGCCGACTATTCATACTTCGTGTAGCGACACGTCCTCGGTGAGGCCAAATTATCCACGAACGGTCGCGCAATACAGTTTAAATCGCGCGCACGTGACGTTGGAACCGACGCCGGAATCCAGTCCGGATTCCTGTAACATGCCTAGCTCGTACGAACCGCTACAGAGTCAAGTAAGATCTCGAATATTTGCAACGTAAGCCTCTAATTTAACGTATACAGTAAGGATTGATTTTAAAATTTTTATTTTTTTTCAGTTATCATATGGCACGAGCGGGCAATCGTACAGTGGAAGCACTCAATATGCCCCCGGTCATTATGGTAACAGTAATCAACAGATGAGCAATACCGGAATGGAAAGCAACAACAGCAAACGTCTGCAGGGGCATCCTCTCAAAAGCTTCAGTGTGCCGGCACCTCCGCCACAAAGTGCCCCTTCGACACCAGCTCAACAGAAACATGGTGGTTAGTATCGTATACAGAGAGAATTTTCTTCTAGAATTTATACTGAAATTCATGGTAATCGTGGGACAATGTAGTATTGGAAGAATTTTATAAAAGTTTTTCTAATTAATATTTACCACAATAAAAATATTAATATCTACCATAATAAGATATAAAATATATTTGATTATTATTAATTTCACTACAATATGTAGTATAATTTTAAATATATTAAAAACTATGTTAAAAATTTTGGATTCTTCAAGTGTTTTAAATAGATGCCAAAAAAGTAAACATATAATAGTATATTATATAAATTTATTTCACAATGCAGCATAATAAACGTGCGTTTAACATGTTTTTCCAAAATCACAGTGTCACAAGTGACAGTAAGACCGACAATATCCGGAAGCCCGTACAAGAAACCGCAAAGTTCGTCATCACAATTGGCGAAAAATCGTTTAGCCTCTGTGTCGAATCCGACGCATACTTCGGAAGAGGTCGAACGTTTAAAGGTAAAAGAAATCTGCTAGATCTCTGCTACATTAATATACACTTTGATTTTATAATTTCCAATATTGTTACTTTTACATTTATGGACACATTTCGTGCAATTAATAATCGAGTTAATTGTCGATTACAGCCATCGTATTCTACGGAAGAATTGAATCAAGAAATGGCCAATCTAGAGGGTCTCATGAAGGATCTAAATGCCATAACAGCATCGGAATTCGAATGCTAAAACAGGTTCCTAAGCCTTGTGCCATCCCAACTGATGGATAGACTGCAACGCCACATTCTTAATGTTAGTATCTGGGAGGTAGTAAATTAATTACGACACATTCGAGTCTGTCGCGTAATAAAATTACGCGATTATTATCAGAATTATGTAAACGCGAAACAAACTATACTATATAAGTTAATTAGCGGCGATGAACGGCGCAATTAACGCATGACCCGAACGCTCGATTTAATACAATATTTAATTCGAACGTAACATTTGGTCATTTTTTTATATTAAATCATTCCATTTTAACACAATTAACGTTTCCTCTCTCCGGTACTAGCGTTGCTTATTTCGAGTGTGAAACTCAGAGTTGTGTACTTGCCAATATATTCCGACAGTGTGTCAGCGTTCTTTCGTATTTTTTGATAACGCGAGCACGCGAGAGTATTGTATTCCGCGATTGATCGCGGAAAAACTTGACGAGCACTTTGTGTTATAGATGTTTATGATAATCGCGTGTGAATGTATGCTGTAAGACGCATATACCGACCGAAACGTTCATGTATCGTATAAATTATACGATTACATGATCGAGTCCAGCGTGTTTTCTACCATTGTGTATGAAAGTCGATGTAATCATGCGTGAGTAAGAAATGCGTTATGACGTATTTCTTCGACATTCGCATAAAAATAGTTTAATCAGACGACACTCTTTGATTGTGCTTTTATATACATTGATCAAAGAGCAATTGCCTAAATAAAAAAAAAAGAATACTACGCTTTGCAGTCCCAGCGAAAAGCTCGCGAACGTTGCTATTTCGCATTCATGTAATTCGTATATTCGTATAATTGCATTCTACGTCGATGCTAATAATTGCCATATTTACGCTTAATAAGGAGGTGGGATACGCGTAAATCGCTCGAGTAATGTACGATTTAAGATGAAGGACGGAAAATATTCATGAAAAAATATTAATTCTATTTTTGTATCTATTAAAATCTGTTTGCGAAAAACTTTATTATACATTCTTATATTTGGAAGAATTTTTATTAGCAAAGTCTATGCACACATTTCTATTTTAGAATTTTTATTTTATTTAGAAAAAAAAATTTTATAATGTTTTTCTGCAAACAATAAGTATATATATATATATATCGGGATTTTGTGAAAATGTTATTCGATACCGAGCATACGACTCGGTTTGAGGACCGCAAAATTTCTGTAATTTGTATGTATATTATATATTATATTCAGACGCGGATTTTTAAAATAAGATTTACGTTTTGTAGTCTGTACGTAACGTCTGGCAGCTCGCATTTTAAGAAGAAAGATTTCGTGCGTGTACTCTTTGTTGAATCAACCACCTAGTATTACGATCTCAATGAAAAATATTATTTTAGAGTTAATGCGAAAATAATTGAATATGGGTATTATATAATGGTTTAGTATAACAAAGTCAATGATCGATTTTCCTTGTAGATTGATCACGAAAAATGTGTAAGACTCATTTGTGGAATTTAGCGACACGATATTTTCGGATCAATCTATCGCTATCCCTAGAGTTTAACTATTTTATTGTAAACGTAGAGTGTATAAAGTTTGCTTTATTGACGAAAATACGGTCCATTTAAATTTACAAAGTAAGTTATTCTCTCGAAGAATCGCTTTTGCGAGTTAAAGTATTATCGATAAAAAGTTATATACACACACAAATATTTTTACTGAGATACATATATACTTTGTATTTTGCTTAATTCGGATACCATAATCAGCAACAATTTTTAGGAAAAATTTTATAAACTTAACGCACAAATGCTCAATTTTTACTGGTATTGGAAATCGTCGAGATATACATGCATTCATATATTTATATCTCCAAACACACATTTTATATAAACTACTTACTGCCAATTCACATTAATGCATATCCGTCAAAGTACATACATACATTTCCTTCCAACGCTAAAAAATTTTAATCCAGCAAAATATAAATGAGATATGGTAGTATATTTCAACTACAATTAACACGTTGATTGTCATGCTTATCTTTATAGTGACACCTTGATTGTCACTATTGATCGATGTTATCAAATTTTATTGAAATGCAACAAATGGATGCCTTTGGATAAAATATAAAATAATTGAGAATAATAATACTAATTAATGTCAATAAGTAATAATTAATAATAAATATTAATATTAATTAATTTTAACTTATAATCAAAAGTAAAATATTTTATTTTAATATTTTATTATTTATATAATAAAAAATTCACTTTGGAATACACGGTAAGCCATATAAAATTCGCTTGTCAATCAACGTGTTAATAAATATAACAATCGTCATTATATTGCGAGATAATAACGCTTGTAGAATTTCTTGAATTGTACTCGACTGTTTTTGAAACATTTTTGTATTTTCATAACATTCGAGATATTGTACAAAGTTGTATAATTAAGGGCGTTTTATCGTATGTGAGTTAATAGTACGTAAGTGATATAAATGAAGCTTGTTTTACACTTTTGCTCGTGAGAAGACACAATTAAATATCGGAGACGAATGTATATATACAGTAAGTTCAAAAAACTGTCAAAGTATTATAAATGGTGTTTTAAATCACCTTGAATCAGTTCTAAGGGCTATAATTAATTAATATGTCGGCTCTATTACTTTTAAATGTATATTTGAGTTTCTGAATGTAAGAGAATAATTCTAGCATATATGAATTCGATATTGAGCAATTTTTTTTCATACAAAACAGCGAAAAAGCAGATGATAGTCTTTTCATATAAATTCTGCCAAATTTATAACACAAACACTTTGCAGATTGGAATTCAAACAATTCGAAACAATATTGTATCATGATTCAGAGTATCATATGTCACTGATGTCAGTGATGATATTAATACAATTTGTACAAAGAGCAACTAAATTTTTTCATTGTTGATTTAGCTCGATGAGAATATTGCAAAGATTATCAGTGCGTTCAGCAAAAAGTTTTGCTCGTCAAAAGAATACAGTCTACACATTTTTATTTTTTATAAGTTAAATACAAAAAAATGTTATTTATGTAGACGCAGTATGCTATTCTCAGATATGCTATATATATATATATATATATATATATATATATATATATATATATATATATATACATAGCATATATATATTATATATATAAGTTGTATCTTTTGCTCTGTTAAAAAAAAGCGACAGATACTTTTTGATGGAAAGACAGGCCTATGCGGAGGGCCTGTAAAAATAATTTACCACAAAAGTATAATTAGCATAGTTACGTGTGTATATACATATATATATATATGTATATATATATATATATATATATATATATATATATATATATATATACACATATATACTCACAAAACGCGGATATTTATCTATATAAAATAATTATTATTTATTGTTTTCTATATACGCGCTGAATTTTCTGGAGACGAAATGTAAAAGATTAGAGGCTGATTTGCATTCGATCTAACAACATCGCGCTAATGCATTTCTTATTCTCATCAACGAATCGATCATCCGCATTTATATATTAAACTAGTTAAGTAAATAAATTATCTAGTATTAGCATTTATAAAATCGACGATGGTAATCGCGATTATGAACGCGATCAGCTTATCGATGTACATAAATATAAAAGGAACACACATCGCCACTTTACAAGATGATCGAGTATTTATATATATTATATATAAATAGCTATTATATATATATATATATATATTGAATATAAATCTTATATTTGTACGATATATGAGAGATATAAGGAAACCCGCCCGAGACGAAAACATTCATAACAAGTGTGTGATAATATTTGTAAAACTTGATATTCAATAAACAATTTTATGTTCTTTACATATTTCACGTAAAAGTCTTGTATAGGTGAATGTAATGAGTTATTTCTAAAAAGTAACTTTCCCAACTCTGGAATTTTACCTTTTATTTGACATGTAATTTCTTTTCATATATTATCTTACATATAATGTCTAAAAATATTTGAAAAAACTACAAAGTTTATATTTAATTTGCATATGTATTTATAAATAACTCTAAATCATTTTTAAATATAACAAAAGTAACGTTAATGTGTTAATTAAATTGTTTAAATAAAGAGAGTCATGTATATATAGAATGAAGAGATCAATAAGAAAAATTAAATATAGAAGAATCTTGAACAAGAAAAATGAACAAGAGTATATAATTATTATTTACCCGTCAGTAGACACTATATGTTAGTTGTTTCGTTAATTAGTTAATAATATAGTAAATAATAATATTAAATCATTTCATCTAATTAAGCGAGAATGCCGCGGCAATAATCGATAATTCTCGATAATACATCAACGTCGAGTTTGAATTTTTTTTTATCTGTTTTTACTATAATTTATATTTATAATTACAATATATTTGTATCACGATACATGAAATGACAAATACTTTGTAATACAATTTTATAAATAATTTCCGAATTTATAATACCAAAAGTCAAATAATATGTATAATATGTATACTAATATGTATATACACATGTAAATGTGTGTATATGTGAGAGTGTGCATGTTTATTTCCAAATGTTATGATCCCGACAATAATATTTTTTTTCATCAAGGATGAAATGTAGAGTCGGAGAACAGTTTCACATTTAAAAATTAGCAATTTGAAAGTCATCAGATTCACAGACATACGAATAAGATACGTTGAATGGACGAAAATTAACCATAATTAATAATACGTGAGAGAGAAAATACGTGCAAAGAAATTTGCTAAGTAATATTGCGCTAAGCTATTAAATTAAAGAATTGTGTTTGGTGTTTATCTGTACTTGTGTTATATCATTTTTAAACAAAATGGATAAGACTTCAGATCAAGCAACATCCGTTAAGGAGGTTTTAGAGGAATTTGCAAAAGAAGCGCAGAGTAAGTCTACAGACTGTTATGTAAAATTATGTGTAATGCAGTCTATTTTTTAAAATTAATAATAATGATCTAAAATATACATAAAAATGCTAATATTTTTGTGTTATAATTTTATATGTATAATGTTGTTAAATGAATAATTTATATATGAAAATCTAAAATCTTCTGGCTCTCACTTGGTGGATCTTGCATTACAATAGATTCGAATAATCGCGTACTTTTTTTCGAAATATGCTAGCATTAAACATATATTAGAAAATATCGAGTGTTAAATATACACAAAATAAGTTTAAGATAATGACCTCGTCAACATATATACATGACAAAAAGTATATTTGAGTATAAATAAAAGATGAGATAAATAAAATTATATTACAAAATATAATCTCTTTAATGTTATAAATTAAAATATTACTTTCAAGTATTATTTTAGCAAACATCAAGTAACTATTATATAAGTGTTAGTTGTAATTTCCTACTTAACACACGTGTTATATTGCATTTACATTGTTGAGTGGGAAATTACAACTAACAGTTATATAATAGTTACTTGGTGTTTGCTAGGACCGATAATCCATTTGTTTCGAATTTGTATTTTATTTATTGTTGGAAATATAAGTAAAATACCGCCGTTTTTCGAGTTTACATGCAGACAACGTATTAGGCAAATATATTCATTTTAGTAACCGCAAAAATACATCTCCGAATCTTTTTTACTTTTTTCTTTCCTTTGTTATTTTATGTATACCTACTAGATAACACAATTTTTTCCAAACAAATTTTTGCTCCGCGAGTGTACATAATTTTAATTAACCAAATTTTAATTATATACACTATTCTAATTCCCGAATTTCTATTATACATTGTGTACATAATTTTAATTCGCTGAATTTCTATAATGAAGCTAATTTTAATTTGCAGAATTTTTATTATGCATATTATTTTAATTTTTGATTTTTTATTATGTACATAATTTTAATTCCGGAATTTCTATTATGCACATCCCGTGTAGAAATTTATCACTATAGTAACACCAATTAATCAATTATTTCGAGTACTTAAAATACTGATATACAGTAATTTACGTACTCGAAATAAGTGATTAAGTATTCAAAGTAAGTGATAAATTAGAGTTACTAGTAATAAATTTTTACAAGGGATAATTTCAATTCGCCGTATTTCTATTATGTAAATAACCGAAATTGCACCTAAAAGAAATTCGGCCAATTAAAATTATAAGTATATAATAGAAATTCGGCAAATTGAAATTATAAACATAATAGAAATTCAAGAATACAAATTATGTACATAATAGAAATACGGTGAATCAAAATTTAAACATTGTAAAAAAATAAAAATTTTCATTGTTAAAAGTGACTCGAAGTGAGAAATATATAACTCATCATCAATCTGTCCGTCAATTAGTGGCAAGCAGCAATTAAATAAATTAATTAAAATGAACGAATTAGAAAGGAACAAAATCAATATCTAAATAATAACTAATAAAAACTAACACGTATACAAAATACTTTGTTTCTCAATTGTCACATCTAACAAAGTAAGTAATAATGATGGAGCTAGCGGCAGAGGAACGGAGATGGAAGTGGACGAGCCGACGACAGGTTCCAACGCCAGAGCCGTCGAAATTCCAGCTAGTAAGGTCACAAAATTACGCGGTCACAAATCGGATGTTTTTATCTGTGCTTGGAATCCGATTACTGATCTTTTGGTTTCTGGTTCGAGTGATGGTACTGCATGTATTTGGGACATGTCCGATAATTTGCTAGCACACAATCTATTGGTTTTGCGTTATTTGTCTCAAAAGGGGGGTACCGAAGTGTCTGCTAGCTATAAGAATGTTACTTCGTTAGATTGGAAGGTACGAACAATCTTAGATATATAGTTTTATTTATATTTTGTTGAATGTCATTTTTAATTTTTGCAGTGCGATGGTACGTTACTTGCAACTGGAAGTTTCAATGGATATGCATGTATATGGACAACTGACGGTCGGCTGGTATCCACTTTAGGTCAACATGAAGGTCCGATCTTTCTATTGAGGTGGAACAAACGCGGCAATTATATTTTGGGCGATGGATCCGATAAAACGATCATCATCTGGGATGTCGAAAGTAAGAAGTGTATACAACAATTTAGTTTCCATTGCGACGTTTTAGATGTCGACTGGCAGACAAACACATCATTCGCCAGTTGTTCCACAGATCAATGCATACATGTATGCAAACTTACCGTCGATAAGCCGATCAAGAGCTTCCAAGGACATACAGTGCGTATACATATACATATTTTTGTTCAAGTGCAAAATATGCTGTTCTCTTCATTCCCTATTTTTCTCTTTGTTTTGCAGAGCGAAGTTAATGCAGTTAAATGGGATCCACAAGGAAACTTATTGGCTAGTTGTTCGGACGACATGAGTTTAAAAATCTGGTCTATGAAGCAAGATACATGGGTACACGATTTACAGGCACACAGCAAAGAAGTTTATACTATCAAATGGTCCCCGACTGGTCCAGGAACACACAATCCGAATATAAATTTAACCTTGGCGAGTGCGTCATTTGACTGTACTGTTAGGCTGTGGGATGTGGAGAGAGGTGTATGCATACACACACTTACAAAACATACCGAGAAAGTTTATAGCGTAGCGTTTAGTCCGGATGGGAAATTTCTCGCTAGTGGCAGCTTTGACAAATGTGTTTATATATGGTCCACTCAAGTAAATATTTCAATATTTTTGTTTATCATTGATATAATGTTGAAAGTGAAATTGCAACCAATATATATTTGTTCTCATTCGAACAGAGCGGGCAGTTGGTGCACAGTTACAAGGAGACGGGTGGCATTTTCGAAGTCTGCTGGAATAGTCGCGGCGATAAAGTCGGCGCATCAACATCCGATGGCAGTGTATTCGTTCTCGATCTTCGTAAATTATAATTACTTCAGCATTATAGAAGGAATATTTTTCCTTATCAAGAATAAACTTAATTACAAATAATAAATTTAATCGTGCTAAAAAATTTCCTAAATTTTTGTGTTGTCTATTGTGTTAAAAATTTTTTTAAATTTCCTTGATATTTTCTTTTTAAAAAATGCATGAAGAGAAATGTATGTATATTGACAATATTTTTATCAATGACACTGTACAGTTCACCGTGTAATAATTCAGCAGACTGTTTACGGAGAAATGGATTGCTATTTTCATTCACTAAAAATGATTGAAGTTGATATTATTCCATATACTGTATAATTATATGTAATAATAGTATGTAAGCATTTCGACAATAAGTTAAAAAAAATTAATTTTTTTAAGAAAAATCACGATTGTGATCGAAAAATAATGACACATCATTAATTATGATCCCTTTTTATACGTACAGTACATATATATATATATATATATATATATATATATATATATATATACACATATATACTCACAAAATGCGGATATTTATTCATATGAAATAATTATTATTTATTATTTTTTATATACGCGCTGAATTTTCTGGAGACAGATAAAATGTAAAACGTTCGAGGTTGATTTGCATTCAACCTAATAACATCGCGCTAATGCATTTCTTATTCTCATCAACGAATCGAATATATATATATATATATATATATATATATATATATATATAAATTTTATATTTGTACGATATACGAGAGATATAAGGAAACCCGCCCGAGACGAAAACATTCATAACAAGTGTGTGATAATATTTGTAAAACTTGATATTCAATAAACAATTTTATGTTCTTTAGATATTTCACGTAAAAGTCTTGTATAAGTAAATGTAATGAGTTACTTTTAAAAAGTGACTTTCCCAATTCTTGAATTTTACCTTTTATTTGACATGTAATAATATCTTTCCATATATTATTATATATAATGTCTAAAAATATTTGAAAAAACTACAAATTTTATATTTAATTTGCATACGTATTTATAAATAACTCTAAATTATTTTTAAATATAACAAAAGTAACGTTAATGTGTTAATTAAATTGTTTAAATAAAGAGAGTCATGTATATATAGAATGAAGAGATCAATAACAAAAATTAAATACAGAAGAATCTTGAACAAGAAAAATGAACAAGAGTATATAATTATTATTTACTCGCCAGTAAGCACTATATCTTAGTTGTTTCGTTAGTTAGTTAATAATAATATTAAATAATCGCATTTATTTAATTATTTTCATAGGGGGGTTAGAAGGTTATTGAAATTAAATCTCAAGTTTTTGAGATTACTTCAAATTTTAAGTCTTGGTAGTACACCGAGAAAGATATACGTGTCTTGTGCACGATTTATTTCCAACAAAAACTTAATGTTCGTTGCATGGAAATATACGCAGCAATATCTGCATATGGCTCTTTAGGCCTTTATTATTTGTGATTTATATTGAATATATTACAGAGCCGTGTTTTAATCTTAGTTGTTAAATAATTTCATTGAATAAAGCGAGAATGCCGCGACAATGATCGATAATTCTTGATAAGATATCAACGTCGAGTATGAATTATTTCATCTATATTTACTATAATTTATATTTATAATTACAATATATTTGTATCACGATACATAAAATGACAAATTTTTTGAAATAAAATTTTATAAATAATTTCTAAATTTATGATACTAAAAAAGAAAATGACATGTATAATATGTACTAATACGGATACATATGTAAATGTGTGTATATGTGAGAGTGTGCATAAGTGTGTATGTGCGTGTTTCTTTCGAAATGTTATGACCCCGACAATAATATTTTCCTTCGTCAAAGATGAAATGTAGAGTCGGAAAACAGTTTTACATTTGAAAATTATCAATTTGAAAGTCGTCGGATTCACAGACATACGAATAAGATATATCGAGCGGACGAAAATTAACCATAATTAATAATACGTGAGAGAAAAAATACGTGCAAAGTTTGCTAAGTAATATTGCGCCAAGCTATTAAATTAAAGAATTGTGTGTTTGGCGTTTATTTGTACTTGTGTTAAATCATTTTTAAACAAAATGTATAAGACTTCAGATCAAGCAACAGCCCTGAAGGAGTCTTTAGAGGAGTTTGATCAAATATTGCAGAGTAAGTCCACAAATTGTTATGTAAAATTATGTAAAATGCAGTCTATTTGTTAAAATTAATAATTAATGATCTGAAATATACATTAAGATGCTAATTATTTTTTGTGTTATAATTTTATATATTGTTATCAAAGGAATTTATATGTGAAAATCTAAAATCTTGTAGCTCTCACTTGGTGTATCTTGCATTAATTACATTAGATTCAAATAATCGCGTACTTTTTTCGAAATATGTTAGCATTAAACATATATCAGAAAATATCGACTTTTAAATATACACAAATTAAATTTAAGATAATGACTTCGTCAACATATACATGACAGAAAGTATATTTGAGTAAATAAAAAAGATAGGTAAAATTATATTACAAAATATAATTTCTTTAGCGTTATACATTAAAATATTACTTTCAACTTTTACCGATAATAATCTATTTATTTCGAATTTGTATTTTATTTGTTGGAAATATTAGTAAAAAATACAGCCGTTTTTCGGGTTTACACGGTAGACAACGTATTAGGCAAATATATTTATTTTAGTAAACGCAAAAATGCATCTCCGAATTTTTTTTACTTTTTTCTTTCTACTATTATTTTATGTATACTATAGACACGGTCGTGAAATTAGATAACACAAGCGCGCGCTAAACAAATTTTTACTCTGCGAGTGTACCTAATTTTAATTCTTCCAAATTTCAATTATGTACATAACTCTAATTCCTGAATTTCTATTATACACTGTGTACATAATTTTAATTCTGGAATTTCTATTATGCACATAATTTGAATTTGCCGTATTTCTATTATGTAAATAATCGAAATTGTATCTAATAGAAATTTGGCCAATTAATAAATTATGTATATAATAGAAATTCGGCAAATTAAAACTATAAACATAATAGAATTTCAAGAACATAAATTATGTACATAATAGAAATACGGTGAATAAAAATTTAAACATGGTAAAAAAATAAATTTTTATTGTTAAAAGTGACTAAAAGTGAGAAATATAATTCAATATCAATCTGTCTGTCAATTAGTGGTAAACTCCAATTAAATAAATTAATTATAGAATAAACGAATTAAAAAGGAACAAAATCAATATCTATATAATAACTGATAAAAACTGACAAGTATACCAAATATTCTTTTTTCTTAGATGTAAGAAATAATGATCGAGCTTGCAACAGAGGAACAGAGATGGAAGTGGACGAGACAAGCTCCAACACCAGTGCCGTTGAAATTCCTGCTAGTAAGATCAGAAAATTACACAGTTACGAATCGGAAGTCTTTATTACCTGTGTCTCGAATCCGACTAATAATTTTTTAGGTTTTAGTTCGGATAATAAAAGCGAGCCGACGACAGGAGAGACGACAGGCTTCAGTGCCAGTGCCGTTGAAATTCCTGCTAGTAAGATCGAAAAACTACGCAGTGACAAATCGCAAGTCTTTATTAATTATGCCTCGAATCCGAATCGTTATGCAACGGGTTTTGATTCGGATGGTGATTACCTCAAGATAGAAAAGACGACAGACTCCAGCGCCAGAGCCGTTGAAATCCTTATCTTTGCCTGGAATCCGACTACTGATTGTTTGATTTCTGGTTCGACTGATGGTAGTCTACATATTTGGAACATGCCCGATTATTTGCCAGAAGCCTATCCATTGGTTTTGCGTCATTCGTCTCAAAAGGGGAGTACCGAAGTGCCTGCTAGCTATAAGGATGTTACTTCGTTAGATTGGAAGGTACGAACAATCTTAGACATATAGTTTTATTTATTTTTTGTTGAATGTCATGATGACATGCGTTTTCAATTTTTGCAGTGCGATGGTAAGTTATTTGCAGCTGGAACTTACGATGGATATGCATGTATATGGACAACTGACGGTCGGCTGGTATCCACTTTAGGTCAACATGAAGGTCCGATCTTTCTATTGAGGTGGAACAAACGCGGCAATTATATTTTGGGCGATGGATCCGATAAAACGATCATCATCTGGGATGTCGAAAGTAAGAAGTGTATACAACAATTTAGTTTCCATTGCGACGTTTTAGATGTCGACTGGCAGACAAACACATCATTCGCCAGTTGTTCCACAGATCAATGCATACATGTATGCAAACTTACCGTCGATAAGCCGATCAAGAGCTTCCGAGGACATACAGTGCGTATACATATACATATTTTTGTTCAAGTGTAAAATACGCTGTTCTCTTCATTCCCTATTTTTCTCTTTGTTTTGCAGAGTAAAATTAATGCAATCAAATGGAATCCACAAGGAAACTTATTGGCTAGTTGTTCGAACGACTGGAGGGTAAAAATCTGGTCTATGAAGCAAGATACATGTGTACACGATTTAAAGAAGCACAACAATGATATTCATACTATCAAATGGTCCCCGACTGGTCCAGGAACACACAATCCGAATATGAATTTAACCTTGGCGAGTGGGTCATTTGACTCTACTATTAGGCTGTGGGATGTGGAGACAGGTGAAAGCAAACATATACTTAGAAAACATAATAAGCCAGTTTTAAATGTAGCGTTTAGTCCGGATGGGAAATTTCTCGCTAGTAGCAGAGGTGACAATGTTGATATATGGTCCACTAAAGTGAGTATTTTAATATTTTTGTTTATCACTGATGTAATGTTGAAAGTAAAATTGCAACCAATATATATTTGTTTTTATTTGAACAGGACGGCAATTTGGTACACAATTACAAGAGAAAAAATAGCATTTTCGAAGTCTGCTGGAATAGTCGCGGCGATAAAGTCGGCGCATCAGCATCCGATGGCTGTGTATTCGTTCTCGATCTTCGTAAATTATAATTACCTCAGCATTATAGAAGGAATATTTTATTATCAATAATAAACTTAATTAGAAATAATAAATTTAATTGTGCTAAGAAATTTTATAAATTTCCTTCGTCTTTTCTTCTAAAAAATGCATGTATATTGATAATATTTTTAATAGTGACACTGTACAATTCATCATGTAATAATTCAGCAGACTATTGTCGGTGAAATGGATTGCCATCTTTATTCACTAAAAATGATTGAAGTTGATGTTATTTCATACTGTATAACTGTAATAATAGTATGTGAGCTTTTTGACAATAAATTTAAGAAATAAACTTTTTAAGAAAAATTATGATTGTGGTCGAAAAATAATGACACTTACATCATTAATTATGATCCTTTTTTATACGTACAACATAACACAAGCGCGCGTTTCGCGCGCGCCAAACGATATTTTGCTCTGCGAGTGTATTTAATTTTAATTAACCGAATTTCAATTATATACATAACTTTAATTCACGAATTTCTATTATACATATACATAATTTTAATTCGCTAAATTTCTATTATGAACCTAATTTTAATTTGCAGAATTTTTATCATGCTAAAATTTTAATTTATAATTTTGTATGTACATAATTTTAATTCTGAAAATTTAATTATGCACATAGTTTCAAATATGTAAATAACCGAAATTGTAGCTAATAAAAATTACCCAGTCAGACCAGAAATTATATCGAATCAACGTCAATTCGTATCGACGTTGTTGAATCGACGTCGATCGGTTAAATCGCCGTCGAATCGATGTTGATTCGACGTTGATTTGATCATTCATTTCTGGCTGGGTATTAAAATATTTTGATACTTTTTCTATTTGTTTATATAGATTGATTAGTGTGAAGTAATTTATCAATTTAAAGTATAAAGCGGGGAGCACACACTTATTTGCATAGGCGCAAAAGCGTAAGCATAAGAATCTTGATTGATCAATAAACGTATGCATAAGAAATTTAATCATCGACGGTGATATTATTAGTATGATCTACCAATTGTCGGAGAGAAAAGTTGCCTTGAAGTTGCAGAATCTGCAACATATTAATATGACATTAAAAAAGATGATAAAGGCTTTACGACATGCCCGAACTTCAAGTTGGAACAAAATCTGAAAATTCGTGAGCTGCTTGAAGCTGTAGGCGCTCAAACATTATTCGAGCCCGGTGCAATTGATCGGGGAAATCGTAGTAGAGACGACGATAGCGAAAATAGGCACCAGGCCCAATTTCTGCATCGTGTTCATATTAATGTTTCGGATCAGAGCATTACCGCGTGTGGAATTAACGTGATTTGCACAGAACAAGAGTTCTTAAAGAACATCGACACAGGCCGAGCGCATTACGATTATCCGTTTGTTTGTTTTATTTATGAGAAAGGATTTCAAGAAATTCTTTTTATCGGTGCTTTTATAATAAAACCATCAAGGGATCGTCCAAGGAAGAATGTTTAGAGTTGCCAGTTTCGTCTTTAAGACTGCATGCAGTGATAGAAGTACGTATATTGAAAAATGACGTAAAATTATCGTAACAATTATATATTTCCTTTTTCTCGATTCAACTTTTTGATGTATTATATTTTATTCTCGATATATTTTATTAGGAAAAAAACATTTTTTAAAGGATAATGACAATATTATTGTTACAAAGGCTAACAAAGAACAAACGACGGTGATCCTTAATAAAATGAAAATTGATTACATAGAAAAAATGGAAGCTTTATTAAATGACGAATCGACTTATAGAAGAATTAATAAAAATCCTGTTAAAAAGTTAATTAACAAAATGCATTCTCTTATTAAGTCGTTGCTCGATAATAAATTGATGACTATTTACAATTATGTAAACGTAATTAACGGGATTTTACCACGATGTTACGGGTTGCCGAAAATTTACAAAGTTGACTTTCCACTACAAATTATAGTATCGTCTTTATGTAGCCCGTTATATAATTTGTCGAACTATATTTATAATATACTTATTAATTTTATTAAAAAACCGAGATCGCGTTTATTAAAGATGGTTGGTCCTTTGCAGAGAATGTTAAGAAAAAAGTAATTAATGACGATGAAATACTAATATATTATTAGATGTTACTTCCTTATTTACGAATATCCCGAAAGAATCAGTAATTAGCAGAGTAAAAAAGCGTTGGATGGACATCTCAACCAATACGAAATTCAATCTTTCCCAATTTTTATATATGATTGAGTTCATTATGGATTCGACAAGTTTTATTTTTAACGGACGGTACTATGAACAGATTTTTGGTAGTTTTATGGGGTTTCCGCTCTCACCCATATTAGCGGATATGGTGATGGACGACTTAGAGACGGATTGCTTGAAAAGGTTGAGTTTCAAAACTTCGCTGTTTTACAGATATGTGGATGATATTTTCACGATCATCCCATTGAGGGGTGTTGATGAAATTGTGTTGTTTTCTAATGATTACTATCCGAGATTAAAATTTACGCATAAAATTGAAAGTGATAACGCGATTAATTTTTTGAACACTACTGTGATCAGACATAATGGTAGATTGTTCACTGATTGGTTTATGAAACCCACTTGCTCGGGTAGATATATTAACTATTATTCGAATCATCCTTTTAAATACAAAAAGAATACCATTTTTAGTCTTGTTGATCGTGCAATTTTATTATCGGACGACTGTTTTCATCAAAAAACATCTCTAAAGTAAAATCGATATTGACGAATAATTGTTTTCCGTCGGATATTATTAATAAGTTTGTGAATAACAGGTTAAAATTGCTTAAAACACGAAATAATGACGATCGCAATGTGGATAACGATAATTCAGTTAGTACAAAATTTGACCGTATTATACAATTACCGTATGTCAAAGAACTTATTGTTAGTGAGGATGTTTCGAGATTATTACAATTTACTGGCATGTAAAGCGTTTACTGCATACTGAAAAAATTAAATACATTAATTAGACGCGTCAAAGATCCTTTATCTTTGGAAGAAAAAACAGGAGTAGTATATAAAATTAATTGCGCAAATTTTGTTCCTCATCATATATTGGTCAAACTAAACGACAATTAGGCACACGTATAAAAGAACATTTTAATAATTTTAAAGTACACAATAGTAATTACTCAGTCATAAGTAATCATAAATTGGATAATGGTCATGATTTCGATTGGTCTGCTCCAGAAATTTTACATCATGAGAAATACATAAGTAAACGAGAAATCGCGGAGATGTTTTTTATCAAAAAATTTGACAACACAATTAATTTACAAAAAGACACGGATAATCTAAATAATGTTTACGAGAAACTAATAAAAGTCGTTTAGTTTGATCGAAATAGTGAGTATATAAGGAACTTGAAATCGACATGATAACATAGTTATTTCGTTTTCATACTATCATGTTATTATATCATGTCATATTCTAAGATCGAATTTTTGTTTTTTAAAAAAGTTGTGATTTACTTTGTTTTAAGAACATATAGGTATGTTTGCGTATTAATGTGTAAAAGTTTCTATATATTTTATTATTTTTATATTTATTTTTCTAATAATTGTTAATATTATATTATAGCACTCGATAAGGGCCGAAACCCATGGCCGAAACGTTGCGAATATTCAATAAAATTACTTATTTGCCAGAGTTGGTCGATTGAATTATTACCATATTTTATTAGGAACTTCCGTTAATTATATATATGTATATAGTTTAATTAAATAATTAAATCTTTTTGTTATTCAAATTTAATATTTACTTGTCATTAAACTTTGGATTTTCGGAAAAAGAGGAAAAGTTTGTAGATCTTTTTCAAAATATATTTTATTTGTGCGATTTTCATTATTAAATTTATTTATATACTTATTAAATTTTAAAATATAAATACATATAAATTAAAATTTGATTTGTATTTACAAAAATTATTTCGAAATATTCTAAGCATTAATGTTATTAGATTGAAATATTAACAGATTATAATATTAATTCTCCGAATTTCTATTATGTACATAATTTTAATTCCCGATTTATATTACGTGCATAAATTTAATTCACCAAATTCATATTACAAACATAATAAAAATGCAGGAATTATAATTATGTATACGTAATAGAAATTCGGTGAATTAAAATTATGTACTTAAATAATAGAAATTCGGGAATTAATATTATGTATATAATAGAAATTCGGTAACTAAAATTATACATATATACATAATTCGGGAATTAGTATTACGTACATAATAGAAATACGGTGTGAATAAAAATTATGTACATAACAAAAATTTGGCGAATTTTATCTGCATAATGGAAATTCAGCGAATTATGTATACAATGGAAATTCGCTTACTTACATTCTTCTGTGTTGTTCTCTTAGCAATAGTATATTAGGTTGAATGACAGCAAATACATATGAAATTAAATATGATCTTCCGAATGTGTACGAATACGCGCACGAATGCAGAACAAAAAATAATTAATATTTTAATATATATTTATATAAAATTTATATATACGTTTTATTTTGAAGCGTCGCGGAAAAGCGAGGACAGTGTCAATAACATGCCTTTTTTCGAAAGGGGACAATCTTAAAATTTAACGCGCGTAACACCGATTTTAAATACATATAGATCGATAATCGATTAATCGATAGGTCGATAATCGATTAATTAAACTCGCAGAGATTGGACCAATCAGGAATAATCTCTGCTTTTGTCCAATAATACTCGTCTATTATTTGGCGAACGCGCTACAAATATTTCGGTCCCTGCGGCATCGCGTCATGATAAACGAAGTAGTCTACGGCGACATTCCGATCGGAACATTAATATGGCGATTTGTGCGGTAAATTCGGCGAGTCGCGCCCCGTCGAGATGTTTTTCATCGCGTTCCTCGCATGGTGAGCGTTTGTTGACACGGGCGCGAGTGCGGTGTAATCGGCCTGTGCGACGTAATCATCGGTGCCTGAGACAAAGAGAGAAAGAAAGAGAGAGAGAGTGAGTGACAGAGAGAGACACGCACCTCGTGACATATCGCTAATGCGATAACGTGACGCGCCACGCGATGTCCGTCAGCTACGCCAGGATGAAAGCCTGTCACGAAGCCCTGTCGTCGTCGTCGTCGACGACGTCGTCGACGACCTCGACGACGCCGAACGCCGCTGTCAGACGCGCCGGCGACGAGGAGGACTGGCAGATGCAGCTGGCCTTTTGCAAGCCTCGTCACAACACCACCATCGAGAGCGTCAGCTGCATCAGTCAGACTTGGCGGATGAAGGAGCGGGTACGTACACGATTGTCGTTATATTATACACGCGGTCTGTCGAGATCTAGAGAAGAGGCGGGAGTTGTCTCGCACTCTCTTCGTCCGATGACACGCGCACGAGTCTGTCATTTTTCTTCCTCCAGATGAAAACCGTGAGCGTCGCCCTGGTGCTGTGCCTGAACGTCGGCGTGGATCCTCCGGACATCGTCAAGACGCAACCCTGCGCTCGCCTAGAATGCTGGATAGGTAACTCAACTCAAGGTCTTTCGCCCGCGTGTTTTCGTTCGATCTTTCCTCGTCCCGCGGTTATGTAATTCCGACTGCGAGGTTAGATCAGACATGTGCATGCATTTCCACGCCGAGCGACTTTTTTCACATCATTCGATGATTGTGTTCTTCGATGTACGGAGCAGCAATAATTTTTTTCTGTCATTAAACTTTTTTTTTCAAGTAGTGAGAGTAAATAAAAAAAAAAACATAATGATGGAGATTTGTCAAATAAAAGGGGAATTTTCAATTTAATATTATTCCATTTGTATCAAAGTATTACAAAACGCGATTTACACACGTGTTGTTTATTTATTATGCTATGCGTATATTATAGAATTTCCAAATTAAAAATAGGAATGCCTTTACTGATGTATAAAAATATAACAATGCGCATAGCATATTTAATCTACAGAAATATATATTTTTTAAAACAATTATTTAATAAATGTGTCAATCGTTTTTACTCTTTAAAGACAAATTTAGAATAAAATTGATATCTATCAAATAAAGTCGAATAGAGATACAGAATTTTCAGAACAAATATTTTTTCAGATCCTCTATCGGTGAGTCCACAGAAAGCTCTTGAAACTATAGGTTCAAATTTGCAAAAACAATATGAACGATGGCAACGAGAGCTCGTTACAAACAAAGTTAGATCCAACTGTCGAAGAGGTTAAAAAATTATGTACGTCCTTAAGACGAAATGCTAAAGAGAGAGAGTTTTGTTTCATTATAATGGTCATGGTGTGCCTAAACCTACTACCAATGGTGAAATATGGGTATTTAATAGGGTTAGTATAGAGATCTACAGTACAAAAATTACTTAATGAATCTATATAATATTTATATCAATGATGATTTACTTTTACAGACATATACACAGTACATTCCCTTGTCAGTGTATGACTTACAAACTTGGATGGGTGCACCTAGTATTTATGTATACGATTGTTCCAATGCAGGCATTATTGTAGAATCTTTTCAGCAGTTTGCTGACCAACATGAGAAGGAATATGAGGTAAAAATAGGGCGTACATTTTATTTTAAAAATTACAACGTTAATCAATTAATGCAAAGTTGTCAATTAATTATTGCAGATGGAAAAACAGCAAAATCGCGTAACCGGAGTGACATGTCCTGCAGCACCGTGTTATAAGAATTGCATTCAACTAGCAGCATGTGCTGCTAATCAGATTTTACCTATGAATCCGAATTTACCTGCAGATATATTTACATCATGCCTTACTACTCCTATAAAAATTGCAATACGCTGGTAAGAACTTGAAGTACAAAAATTTGTATATTTAATATGATACACATATATATATATATTTTTTTTCATACAGGTTTGCGATGCAGCCTACATCCAAATTAGTTCCCAACATATCGCTTGATCTTATTGACAAGTAAAACTGTTACATTATATATAGATATATATTATAATGTTATATATTCTAGTAAAAAAAAAGTAGTTATACAATTATGATCTTTTGTATACATTTTAGAATTCTGGACAATTGACAGATAGAAGAACAATGTTAGGAGAGCTTAATTGGATATTTACAGCTATAACCGACCACGATAGCGTGGAACACTCTGCAAGAGGTTATATATTCTATATATATTTGTTGATACAAAATAAATATGAAGTACTTATAAGAATCTTATTATCTTCTAGATCTATTTCAAAGATTATTCAGACAAGATCTATTAGTTGCTAGTCTCTTTAGAATTTTTTACTGGCAGAGAGAATACTTCGTTCTTACGATTGCACGCCAGTTTCTTCTCCGAAATTACCACCAACTATCAGGTAAATTAATTTATATATTTTGTATAAAAAATTATAATACATAAATATGTTTAAATTTTGAATAATTTATTTTTAAATTTGGAATAAAAAGATCGATATTTATATTTTTCTAGCATCGTATGTGGCAAGCTTGGGACATGGCGCTTGACCTGTGCTTGGCACAATTGCCGATAGTCTTGGAAAACGAAGATCGATATGTGCATTCGTCATTCTTCGAGGATCAACTTACAGCTTTTCAAGTATGGCTTAACTTGGGATCGAAAAATCGCAGTCCGCCCGAGCAACTTCCGATCGTTCTTCAAGTACTATTGAGTCAAGTTCATAGACTGAGAGCATTAGAACCTTGGGGCGTTTTCTTGATCTTGGTTCATGGGCTGTAAATCTAGCACTTAGCGTTGGCATCTTTCCGTACGTGTTAAAATTGTTACAAAGCAACGCCAGGGAGCTACGCCCTTTGCTCGTTTATATGGGCAAAGATTCTAGCAGTAGACAATGTGAGTCTCATGTATTTTATATATATTATCTTGTATATATGTGTTTACACCATGATTTACAAATCTATTCACATGATTCTCAATTGCAGACTTGCCAAGCAGATCTAGTGCGTGACGGTGGCCATAAATATTCTTGTCTGTGCTTCAAGATACTTCTATTCGGTAGTTTATATGTTTTAACTAATTTTATTCGATAACTGCACCCAGATTGCCCAGGCGGATAAACTTTGTCATAACAAAATATGTTTTTTTATGATAATTTCAGAGCGAGCACAGAACGTTGGCTGCGTTTGTACTAGCCAGTATTGTAAATGATTATCGTCCGGGTCAAGTGGCCGCGAATCAAGGTAATCTCGTTTCGATATGCTTGGAACAACTGGGAGATACGAACTCTTTGCTACGGCAATGGCTTTGTTTGTGCTTGGCGAGGCTTTGGCATAATTTCGACAAAGCGAGATGGTGTGGCGTTAGAGATATCGCTCATGAAAAACTATTTACGTTATTAAAGGATCCCGTTCCAGAGGTAACTTTAATTATTACTAATTATATGAATAATACTAATTCTTAATTACATTATTACTTTATTAATCTAGTTTAGATTGTGTTAGTTGAATTAAACTTTACTGAAGGAGAAATAATTTACACAATTTCTCATTTTTTCTAATGTAATATGACTGATAAGAGCGATCAGATGAGCTAATGATAATTGTTATTATGTATTGAATTTTGAATAAATTTTGTAACATTTTATACAGGTCCGAGCAGCTAGTGTGTACGCATTAGGCACGTTTATAAACAGCGTTACAACTAGGAGTGAGCACGCAAACAATATCGATCAAATTATCGCTATGATGCTTATTAATACCGTGTCTCACGATATGTGTCCGCTAGTTAGAAAAGTAAGTACACAAATAATATCCGCAAATAATATTCGAATTAAGCGTCGGTTGTCAAGGAATTGTCATTATAAATCATCGACATTGCAGGAATTAGTAGTGGCTCTTCAATGGATGGTGCTGCATTTCGAAAATTCTTTTGTAACATTGGCTATAGCTGAGGAAAATAGTCGAAAGGATCTTGTCGTAGAAACTTTGTCTCCGTCCAGTGGCATAAGGCGCATCAGTTCTCGCGACAGATTAAAGATGTTGTCGCCCAATAATACATATGCAGTAGATACGACTGACGGCTTTGGAGCGCAGGATCGCATCAAAAGAGTTCGTCTTCGTCGTCCATTAGTAGTTTAGGTAAGCCCCATCGGTTATCGGGTTTGACGAGAGGAGTCAATCAAAAGTGTCAATCGATACTTATTGACTGAACATTCGATCGAACAGTTATTTGCATTGATTCTTTCGTGTGCCAGGTAATAATTGGGAGTTCGTGAGGAAACCTTGCGAGTCACTTGGTAATAATGAATTCGAAATTTTCATTGCATGTATTTGTAAATGTATTATTAATCTTTTGTTTTTGTAACTTGCGCATAATTTACACCGCCATACAATTTTAATAGAATATAATGCTTATCGCACGAGCTTTGTATAATAGCGCGATATCTTTTTTCTTTAATTTAAATAGATTTCTATAACAGCAACAATTTATAAATGTTATAAAACTATTGCAGGTCATAGTTCTCTTGGAAACTTACCGAGTCTCTCCTATGGTAGCGTGTACATGAATTGTGGCATGGATTGTGCAGTCTCGACGACGATCCTCATCCGGCTGTTGGTGCTATGTCTCAAAAAATTACCAATCATATTCGTAATAAGGTATACATATCTAACATTGCTCTAAATTCGTTTCTACAGTTATATCGAAATATTTTATGATATAAAATATTAAAAATTTTAGGTAAAGGCATCTTCTGCTCCTAAAGAGGTTGTTGAAACAAAAATTTCCTCGTCATTATCTCTTCCGCCATCTCCCTCAAATCGAACCGGTTATTTAAGGTCGGTTAAGAATTACTTTAAATAAGAAATGATCTCTATTTTGTCTCTATTATCTTTAATGTTTTTCTTTTTACGTGTTAATAGCAAAGGGGAGTCACCACCAACGGCCGTCAATTCTGGACCGGATTTGCTGCGTTCTCCGAGAACACACTTTATACCACACAATAGTCGTACGAGAAAACCTCTTCCTAACACGGTAAGAATTCTTTTTTTTACGTTTGTTTCTCCTAAAATTGTAAATGTATAGTATTTTTCTAAAAGTATAATAAGTCATATCTTTGAAAGAATAGAGTAAGTGCAAAGAACAGTTATAAGAAATATGCTATGAATAATGTTGTGCATTTGTGTGCCTGCATGTAGTTGCAGTTAGTACCGTTTTTCAATAAATATTTTTTTTAACGCATTATCAATTGCAATTATATATATAAGCCATACAATTGAATAATCTCATATATATTTTCTAAGATGCATTATTATTTTGCAAATTTAGTTTTTATGTATATTTATATAGATAACTGAAGAAGTAGACGAAATACCTGGAGCCAAGACTCCATTGACCACCTCCCAGTTTGTTGAATGGAGTTGTGCTCAGTTTGCTCAGCCGGTTAGTTTAGAAGACGAAATGGACGATGTAGAGAGCAGACCGTACCTGGAGCGCGAATGGCGGTAAGAAATAATTAAAACTATTAATATTAATTTTATCAAAGCCTAAAAAAGGTTTCTTTAAAATATTATGCTTTATGCATATTAAAATGTTATACTCGATGTCGCAGATTTATACGCAACGCAAAGCAGAGACAGGATGCGAAAGAGGAACATATACGCGCGCCGCAAAGCAAGATGGAATCGCAGGTGTATCACGGAAGATGTCCCCAATCACCTCAAGCTCTGGTTTTTCATCCATTCGAGCCGCATTTGGCCGTGGCGTTGAAAGATTGCTTTGGGTATTTAAACTTTCATTGAGCTGTAAAGAGTACTTGATATTTGGAAAAATATTACAATATATAATAAAATGTGCATAAATGACATATGTGAAAAATTTTTTTAGGGTATGGGATTATCAGAGCGGCACAAAGATGACTTTCTGCGCAAGTCGCGGAAACAAAACGAAATCGCGCATCACGGCCCTCGAGTTTATAAATTCTCACGATTTGAGTCTTCTGATGACAGGTTCTGATGATGGTTCCGTGCAAATTTGGAAGAATTACAGTGGCACGATAAGCCGAGATCCGATTCTCCTCACAGCTTGGCAGGCTCTGGCCGACGTGCAGCCCGCTACAAAAACCTCCAATGGTGCGTATTGGGAAAGGTTCATTGTAAATTTATTTCTTGATAGTATAATTAGCATATAATAGTTAAAATGATGTATACTTGTAGTGACGGCACAACTGGTCACGAAGTGGGAGCAAAAGTCTCTCACTCTAGCAGTGACGGGCGATGTTCGCATCGTGAGACTTTGGGACGCGGAGACCGAATTGAAGAAGCAAGATATTCCAACGGGCGCCGATTGTTGTACTACTTGTCTAGATGTTGACGGCACAGGTTGTTTAAGAGTCACATTTTTACTTCATTATACATTATTATAATTTATATTTCATCTATATTACATATATATGTACGTTATTTCTTTATTGTATATAAAACAAATGTCACGTTAATTTTTAAATTCTTTTATAGGTGCAATAATGGCGCTTGGCTGCGGCGATGGATCGGTACGGCTCTTGGATCGGAGATTACCTCCCGCGGAAGCGAAAGTTATGATTTGGAGGGAACACACGGCTTGGATATTGGCGCATTTTTAAGGCAAGGATCCGAGGGATCCTCGCCGCAATTGTTTACCGGCTCGTCTTCGGGCGACATCAAGATTTTCGATCTTAGAAAAATTCTTCCGTGAGCACGATTCAGATTCAGCCAGGTATTGTGGCATTAACAGCACATGAAATAGCTGATGTTTTTGCTTGGTAAGCAAGAAACTTACTATCAAATGTTAATATAATTATTCTGAATTTTTTATGATAATTTATGATTTTTTGATGATAATTTGACAGGATTTCTTGTGTGAATAAAACATATTTCTGTTTAGCGGCACCACGAATCACTGCATTAGTGTGTACAATATATCGGGTCAACATCTTAACACGATAAAATTCCACGAGGGATTCATGGGTACGCGCCTCAGTCCTGTAAGTTGTCTAAGTTTTCACCGATATCGTGTGACCTTGGCGGCTGGCTTCGTGGACAGTACTTTCACATTATACGAGCCACGCAGATGACTATTAGAGACGGAACTCGTGTAAGATCTTTGCGGAATTTTGTAAATTTATAGCAACATTTTACATATTCTTGAGCGCGTTGCGATATTAACGACGAAATTAGGACTTTGCTCTCCTGACTGCGATCAGAATAGCCTTCTCTTTTTTTTCGTTATTTCTTCTCTTTAAAAGATAGAGGATCCTAGCCTATCTGCTATTTTGGATAAAAGATAGAGAAAGAGAAGATAGTAATAGTTTTTGTGATAAAACTGAGCGAGTATGAATTAACCAAAGTTAGTTTTGAGGTGACCAAAGAACAATTTGAAAGCACGGTTATTATTTTTTTTTAACATAAGATAGAGACTGTTGAAGGAATTTTGGTATCTTGAAAGATGCCAATGCATAATAATACATACATTGTGATAAAAGGTTAATGCGAGTTTGTGTGTGTGAGAATGGTTGAGAAAATAATGATTAAAGATTAAGGAGAAAAGATTAAAGGTATAATGCGAAAGCTTTAGAATCTGCATTAATGAAATAATCTCAATTATTGTGCCATGCAATTTCTGCTTCAGAATTAAACTCTCATGTCAAATACAGATCTATATGTAACGGAAAAATATTTTAACTATCGAATCGATTACGACATGGCTGTGTAAATACGTGGCTCGCATTATACACATTTTTATAAGCTTCATAGGTGACAGTCGATGGTAGAATTTACATTTTTCATCATTTTTCTCGATATAATTTTATCGATACAATTTTTTAAAAATATTTTGTATTATTCTCCGTTCTATGTTCCTGACCAATTGCAGTAGATTTATTTCGAAAAATTTTAATAGTTAGTAATGTACAAACTTTACATAAATAAGTATAATTTCTTAAATGATAAAATTTAACAAAGGACATCTAGACTATACTATACATAACATTCATCCAGATATTATATATTTATAGATTTTAGAGTTGTGCGTTAATTTCACGTGGCAATATTAGATATATTGCATGCAGTGCAATATTTATGGATCAATGAAGAAATATACAGAAAATACTTTCCATTAATACTTATGTAAAACTGAAGAAAAAATGCAAATTTTCATGCAATGAAGAGAGAGGGAGAAAGAAAGAGAGAAAAGTACGTGATACTTTTTTACACAAATATATGACCCTCTAGGATTTATTATTTATATAAAATTTACAAAAATAATTTTTTTGTATTTATATTACGATTACAACGAAACGTCATATTCTTAGTTAAAATTTTTTTCAATATAGCTATTAATGAAAGTAGTCTAAGCGTGTTACATATCTGTTAAAATTTATTCTGTAAAAAGATATTTAGGAACTATCGCGCCTCACACTGCGTCAAACGACATATTTGAGAACAAAATATTAATAATTCGCAATCACAGTAATTATATTGCTTAAGATAATAATGACTACGATTATGTAATTTATTGACTTGTTTCATTCCGTTCGCGGTCACTTGTGCATAGAGCACATAATCCGTTAATGGTTGCAAGGATAGAGAGCAATCTAGACGGGCAAAACTTTATGGTGCATAATATACGAGAATATACAAATTATATTACCAAGCTAGAATTAATGAAAATAGAGCACGTTAATGTTACACACTTGAGAAACGATTTTATTATTATGTATAATACTAGATATATTGTAAATAGACAAAATGCGCCAGATGACGGAGGAGGAGGCGCGAGAAGTGCAGATAGTTTTATCTCTTTATATCATATGATAGTTTTGTTATTGAAAAAAATACAAACATACTGACAATCTAGGTATAAGCCAGGCATGTCAAACACGCGATTATATATGGCCCGTCAATAAAAAAGCTGCGACCTGCTAAGACTTTAAAAATCTTTTGAAAAAACAGGATTTGAAAAAATAGAAAAAACAAGTCTTAAAAAATATTTATAATCATATTTTATTTATTTTTTGAATATTAAAAACACAACCCTCAGTTTAATACAAAATAATTCATGTGGCCTGTGATGCAAAACGAGTTTGACATACCTGGTATAAGCAATAAAGTGACAAGGATTTATAGGGATGCTATGACAAGAGTTTTGCCAAATTGCAGATTTGTATAAATTTACATACGGATATACACGCAGTGCTGGATGTACTTAAATGTCTTCGTCAATTGTATAAACTGCGTTTTTCTCTTTCTAAAGCCAGTTGTTCCGTTTTATATTTTGCCATTAATGAATTCAATTATACAATTGCTTTGACTATTATTAATGTATAATCGCTGTACCTGTCTTTGAGTCTCTTTTCAATATTGTGCTGATAGTAATAATTTTTATTTTACGAATTTTTTAAAACTATTACATGACGTTGCATTTGGATAAAGAAATGATTGAGATAACAATATAATTTTATGTTTCATCCATGAAATTTAATTTCAACACATTTTCTTTCCGATGTATATAAAAAAATAGTCTAACGATACTGCTTTGGAAAGTGTGTAAGGAAAAATACTTAACGTTTCGTAGACAACGAGAAAAATTTATTTAAAAATTTCCCCATAAAAGTATATATGTAAGTTTTTTGTGCTCGGATAAGTCTTGTATTTATATATATATATATAATCAAAGATAATTAAATTAATTAGAGATCGAAAATAGAAAAAAACGCATGAGATTATATTAAGCAAGTTTAAAATTACGAAAAATCAATTTTGATCAGAATGCAATCTTGATTTGAGAAAAGAAATTGTGTGTTTTATGGGGCGAATTGATTCCAAGGAAGATAATTTTAATAATCCAAGAGGAGACAATTTCCCAGGCAGAAACTTATTTGGAAATTTCCATCGGATGATAGTTCTTTCTCTCTCTCTCTTTCTGTCTTCTATTTATGTATTATATTATATATAATTCGAGATCTCGCGCCGCTATTATATTAGCTAGCAATAAATAACAGTTGCCAGGGATAAGCAGGCGTTTTAGGGAATAATAGGCAAACACACACGATTGCGACACTTCGTGCTGTAAGCTGCATTGTACATTTGTGTAATTTATGTAATCGCCTTGTGGTAAAATACAATTACAGTGTCACGTTATACACCGATCTTGTGTAAATATTATAGACTCGTGAACTAAAATTCTTTCTTTGTTTTTAACATTTTTTTAATTAATTATATTCCATTAAGTGAACTCGAAATATCTACAAGGCTTCTACTATCATTCTATCATTGTTGGAGCCATATCGCAAATTGTGAATACGAATAAAGAAGCGAAAAATTGTAAATATATCGATTACTAAATTAATAGTTCTTGAAATGTGTAAGCGATTATTTTTAGAAATCTGTTTCCGGTTCGTTTACGCGTCATGCGAGATGGTAAACAGGTGTTAATTAGGTATGCATGTTACTGTTCAAGCGTGAAAACGTCGCCTTCGTGACACAGACGTATGCGGAATGCACCGCGGGTGGTGCACTGCTGGTTGGAGTTGAAATAACTCGATAAGAACTTTTGTCGGGGTTTTCTCTCTCTTTCCCTCGATGTGAAACCGGTGTGCTGGAAAGCGATATTATCAGTATTCTGCTGTGACGGGTAGAATTGTGGTCTCACCAGCTATCTCCCTGATCGTAAAACGTGACATTATTTCATGCCGTTCTAGTTCTATGTTCCAGACACGCGCAGCTTGAATCTTACGTAAGACAGGTGCTTCGAACAGACTAATTCATTAGTCTCGTTGGAAATTTTAATTCTACCTCGCAATCCTTTCCAGCATTGTTCATTACATAATTATTTAAATCATATTGTTATGTACTTATATCTGTACGTAAATAATTTAAATCATATTATTATGTACTTGTTCTGCATAAATTTCAATATAATTTCTTATATAATTTGTATAGCGAATGAAATTGTAATTTTCAATCTTGAAATTTTTAGTATGTAAACAAATTATTTACATTTACATATGTACATACATATATTGTAGAAAAAGAAAATTTGTTTGCGATTAGATATAAAAGATTTAATGATTTTCATTAGGTAAATGACTCTGTTTTTCTAATAATTTACAAGACAATCTTAAACTTTATCTTGTGTTCGTACATAAATTGTAAAATAATTTGTCAAATTTTCTAAAACTTCTATTATATATGTAATATATATGTAAATCATAAGGGAATATTTTTAATTTTTTTACAAATATTTTCTATCTTCCTATTATTTACTGTCTTAGATAGTTTTCTTAATTCATAATATAGAAGATCATATCGTAATCTCAAGATTTTATTGTCGAAATAAAAATTTATTATTTCCTGTTTAAGATGCTGTTAGGCAATTAGGACAATCGCAAACATCATGCTACGTGTAAATTAGACAAACGTCACACTTGTTTCGTTATCGGAACACTTCATGATTTTTGCTGCATCACGATAAAATATCAAGAGCGATAAAATATATAAACGTACATGCAAATTCACTCAGATCGCTAAGTATTTACTATTTAAACACAATTTTTTCTGATACTTGAATTAGTCATCTTTTACTCACGTATTGTTACGTGTTTTTTCAAATTTTCTTTGAAATTTGTAAAAATAAAAATCAACAATGGAAATATTTTCCGAAACATATATATAAAATAAAATTAAAAAAAAATTTTATGAATTTATTTATATATTAGTAGAATAAATATTTAATAAATGTTATTTCTTTTTTACATATTATAAAAACTAATGTATCTTGCAAGAGAATTGTTTTATTTCATTAATTGTCAATAATTTAACATAACTAAAATAGCTATAAGCAATGCGATTAGTATTGACTAAACGATCATGTTCTATTTATTTGTACCAAGCACGAACATGCCATCCAAAATGAAAGCTACGATTTCACTTTACAAGTCGTAATTGAATGTGATGTGAATAGTCATGTATTATTTGCGATTTTGCCATCACTTGTGACGCATTACAAGAATGATTTATCTCGTTTAAAAGCGAGCTCTTATCTCATCATCATTATTATTATTCATGAAATAAAAATTTTATAAGTAAATGTGAATTATATAGGAAATTGATTTTTTGCAGATATATAAGTGTCATTCAACATTTATTAAGTTTGTCAATGGGTTTTCTATTTTATTATATAGGACAGCAAAATATATATATATATATATATATATATATATCTGTTTCTTCAATATTTAAACTATATATAATTTTTTGGACTCAATAACTGCAATGTAAACAAGTGCGATCAAAATTATTCATTGTTAATATTCATGCGCAAGTCTGCCTATTTCTCAATGATCATCTGAGCGACATGAAGGGGGCTGCTCTATTTTCGTATGGTCACGTGTCAACATTCGAGAGCGCGCGCGCAACAATCGAAGCACGTGCATAAACGCGCGGCGTCTGCTTCTGCTTTCACGCGCATGCGCAGTCGCGGAATCAGTCACCGAATCTCGATCGCGACAGTCGGGGCGCACTTCACGGCAGATTCGCGCGTAGAGAGAAAGCGGGAGTGGTGGGGGGCAAAAGGGAGGAGTGGGGGTCGAGCTTGGAAGGGGAGAGAGTGGCGCGTCGAGCCGCCTCAGTCAGTCCACTTCGAGACGTCCAGCGGCGCGGTCGAGTCTCGCTCTCGCATCGACGCGCGTGAGAGGCTCGCGAAACGTCAATGACGCGTATCACTTGCGTAGATCCGTTCCACCACGTTGTTCTCGCGTCCTGCGTATGCACCTGATCGCGAAGCTTGTCGCAGTCGCGTCGCATCATCATCGATCACTCGCATTACAATCGGTCCGAGACACCTGAACATAGCAGCGTCTAACATTTCATCGCCACTGACGATTGTGACAAGCGCGCGCGACAACATCAACATGGATCGATCGTCCAAATTTATTCTGCGGAAGCTGATTGTGGACTTCCTCTGCTTGTTTGTTGGTGAGTAAGATCGTTTCGAAAGTTTGAAGCGCGCGAACTGTGGGATCGTCAAAATCGTTCTCCGGAACGATGAATTACATTACATGGATCGAGCAGTTGTCAGATTGACAGTCGGGGCGCCGTCGCGCACGCGGCTCGTTTGATATTTAACCCGCGCAGAAGAAAGAGAGTGTGCGGAGATTTAACCTTTAAATTGACAGGTGCGTTTTGTTCTCGCAAAAGCATCTCGCTCTCGTTCTTGATACGTAATAGTGGCGGTTTTTGCCAACTGCCTATGCGATGTTTACGAGACACTCGAGAGGAGAAATGAGAGAAATAAAATTAGAAATGCAGTGGCGCGCTGCGGCTTTCGAAAGTACGCGAGATTTAACCCTTTAGGTTGCGTTCCAAAACGTCCTCTTCGAGGAAAATTTTATTTAAAAACTGTAGTACACGTTATGTATATTATGTGTGGATTATCAGTAAAAATTTATCAGTAAAACATTCTTTTCGAGGAAAATTTTACTGATAATTTACACATAATATACATAACGTGTACTATAGTTTTTAGTCAAAATTTATCAAACATCCTTTTCGAGAAAAATTTTACTGATAATTTACACATAATATACATAACGTGTACTATAGTTTTTAAGTAATTTCCCTCGAAGAGGACGTTTTGGAACGCAACCTGCTTAGATACTTTGAAATGTAGTGTAGCACTTAGGCTTTAATGGAGTTTTCTTCCATACTTTATACCGCTAGGATTAATGGGTTTAATCTTTGCTTGCTCGATGTCGCTTAAAGATTTTGGAGTAGGAAATTTTTTAAATACCAACAAATTTTTTGAACTGTAATTGTATATATTTACATTTTGTGTGTAATATACATATATGTGTATGTGTGTTAATGTCGAAAGAATCAACCTTTATAAAGTTCCCAGCAAACACAAAGTATTATATAACATCAATGTTATAATTTCCCACTCAATAATATAACCGCAATATAACATGGCTTGTACGTAGCAGTTATATTATTGAATGGGAAATTATAACATTGATGTTATGTAATTGTTACTTTTTGTGTTTGCTGGGTTTCTCTCTTGTATTTATTGGAACATTTAAAAGAAAATGAAATTTTCAAAGTCGTTTCGTCAATTATTCGATATTTGCACACAAATTTTGAGAGATTAACATGGTACCTATATGTTTATGTAAATTGCCAAAAACTTATAGGCGATATATGTATAAAGAAATGAAAGAAAAGAGACGAGAAGTTTTATGTTTAATTACATTTTAATTTAAATGTTTTATATTTAGTTACATTTCAATATAAATTTTGTTAAATAAAGATAATCTTGAAAAATTCTTGAATTTTCAAGATTTCTCTCTCTCTCTCTCTCTCTGCTCTTCAAATACTATCTATTATAACTTGGCATTTGCAAAAATATTTTTATTCTAATATATTCTTGTTTTACTCAACACGATCAAGCTTCGATGTTGATTAGTGAAATAAAATTAGCAATATATGTCTGCTCGTTTTTCACAACGCGACAATTTATATCTCTTTATATCGTAAGTGGATTATTGATAATGTTAATAAGTGAGAGCAATAAAAGTATATAGATAACGAAAGAGAACAAAAGATAAATCACTTGAAAACGCTAATAAGGTTTAACACTCGAGCCAACGCGATCTAAACTTACATAAGCACTATTTCACTTATTCCATTAGGGGGAATACTCCACTTTTCCTTTTGCGTTATCAATTTCTCATCACAATAGCAGCATGACGGATGATTTAAAGCGCAATGTTTCGCGGAAATGTAGTACATTTCGCCAACATGTATTGTGTACCGTAAACACACAAACAGCAACAGAATCAGCGTAGCTCGATCGATTTCATTTCGCGTTACCATAGTGATACAGTTTCCACGATGCAGACAGACGATACGACGCCTTTATCTCGTGCCAACACAACAGTGTATTCTTTTCTGTGTGCTATTGTTAAAATTTAAAATATATCTTATCGCGAAATTTTATCTTCGAAATTGTCAACCTGATCAATAACTTATTTATGAGACAAATATTGTAAGAGAGATCAGAATTCTCATTTTTAATATACTTAATTTCAATTATTTAATTTAAATATTTATTTTATTCAAATATGAGGAGATATCACAGTAAAAAAATTTATGTTAAATTTAACACATTTCACATGTCTCAATTTATCTACTCTAATTTTAATGTCATTTTAACAGAGGACAAATATGTAAATAAATAACACACGTAATATGTGAAAAAATAACACAAAAATATAAAAATAAAAATATAATATAAGCAAAAATTCGTACATTTTCATTTAATTGTGTTGTTTTAACACTTAAAAATAGTGAATATTAACTCAACAGACAAATGTCAAAATAACATAACGACAATATGTTATATTAACATAAGAGTATGTTAAAAATTTAACACAAAAATTTCTACACAAGATAATTTCAACAGAAATACGAAATGTTTTTTACCGTGTAAATATAAAAAAACATGCTTTCATTTAAAAAAATAAATATGCTAGAAATATTGCTGCGACATATATTATTATTTAGTCTTACAAAATAATATTTAAAAATAAATAATAGAGAGGAAGAGAGAGAGAGGAGAGAAAAAAACGTGATTTTATTACTCGCATCTGACAACGTATATTGACAAAATTAATTTGAACTAATTGATTAAGATAACATTAGTTTCTTTGGTATATAGATTTTGGTAATTTTTAAAAATCTGTTTTTTCGAATAAAGAAGCATAAGTGAAATAATTTTGTCATTATTACGATTTTTCGATTTTGCGTTGTGATTTTAATGAGTAATTATTCTTTAGTTTTAATTTTTACGTCTAATGCTTTAATTTTCACGTCTAATGCTTTAATTTTTACGTCTAATTCTTATAATGCAAACGATATAACATTTTGTTAGATAAGTTGATGAATGTTGTTGTCATGAGGTAATTATGCGAATCGCAAATTGTTTTGTAGAAATTTAACAAGATGTAATCAGCAAGAAACATTTTTCATATTTCCACTTACATAATTTGCATTTCAGAAACATGCGTGTTTACAGCTTATTATATAATGATCTGTTTATGCGGGTGTGATTATACATTATAACATTATACATTGCTTATTGTTCCATGAGATTCACTTATTTGTTAACTCGTTATTTTTTTTGCGTCGTAGTAATCACATAATTATCAGTAATTGAGATAGTCTTCAACTACATTAGTAATTAAAATTGAAAAAAATCAACAATTTTTTTCTCGGAAACAATCAACATTTTATAAATATATTTTTTCTCTTGATACACTAATCTAATATTTTCTTAAATTCAGTCTCTTTTCAGTTATATAACATTTATTATAATAGACTTCTCCTAATACTACAATTTAAAAAAATATTTTGAGAAGAGGAAAAAAATATTTAAATTACAGAGTAACACATAAATATTATATTTTTATGCATTATTACGAGAATCGCGAGAACTCTTTTTTTTTTTATATTTCTTCTTTTATATTTGTATACTTAAATAATATATAAAAGCAAAACGGATCAATGTCACAAATGTATGATCACGGTTGAGAAGCTTCAGAAGGAAGTACTAATTGAATCGTTAATTGTTGCATGATTGTTAATGTCATTTAAACTACAGAGATTGCATGAATCAAATTAGAGGGTTTAATTTTAAATAAACCACTCTCGCGATGGCGTGACGTGATTTTACGGGGAAAAATCACGAAGGCAGTCACGAAAGCATTTCTCACGCTTACGCATGAGCAAAAATAAATGTGTGGTCTAGCATGACCCGATGGTCGCGGTTTGTTCGCGATGAGAAGACCTTATGGCTACAAGCAGACTGTAGTATATGATGTTAATAAATTCTTTTACAGCAGACAGACTGGAGACACACATTTAGCATATGTATATAGTTAAAAAACTTTTTTAAATTTTTTATTTTAATTTTATTTAATTTTATTTTTCTGCAAGAGAGAGAGAGAGCAGTCAAGTCTGCTTAGAATTCATTTGGTCATCATTTCGTTCACCGGGTACGAGGTGTTAGGCAAACTGCATTTTTCGTGCGTCCGACTTAAAGCAATCGGGGTCCTCTTTCAAAGCTCGTTAAGAAGAGATACCGAAAAGAAGAGGCTGTAGAGAGACCTGCGAACTTGCGGGACTAGTTCGTCCAACAAGTGCACGTCAAGCCTATTCAAAGGAGATAAGTGCCGATTATAAGACAAACCCGTTCGGCCCCGATGAATATACATAAGTCTATTAAATTAGATCCTCTTCTCTACTATCGCTTCTCTCCGATGCGATAGAGTATATCGTTTCAATTATCTACCTGTCGTGCGCTCGCGCGAGGAATTAATAATCTTTTCGGCATAATCTCTGTCCCTCTCTTTTTCTCTCTTTTTCGTTTTTCATACGTGTCAAAGATTTATAGTGTTTGTATTTCGCAGCATCTCTCTTCTTATACACGAATTGCAATTTTATTCGACGGCAGATTTATGCAGGCGATTGTCCGCATGATATATAGCGGGTGTTATATTGAAATAAGTAAGTCTCTCTCAAACTAAACGATAACATCTCGTTCTCGATATTGTTGATTTTTACGTAACGATTATTTCTCGTCGTTATCATTTTTGACGATAATGGTAGAGACGATATAAGAGTATGACGGTAGCTTTTATTAAGTTTGCAGAGATAAATGCTTACGAATGACAAGCCTGTTATTTGACATCGTAAATTAATGCGACGCATTCTCTCGTTAAAAATGCATCAATACCGGTTAGAAAGATACGAATGATTGTATACAATAACGTTACTCTGAAAACATAAACATAGTGATTTAATAATAAAGATTATATATATACAAAATAATAAAATATATGAAATAATATAAAATCTACAAATTACAATAAATGGATGTAAAAATAATTAACAACAATTTTTTTAGTAGAAATAATCGA